TTGCTAACTAGCACGTTATTAGGAAAGGCGATTTGCAAAGATTCATAAAAAACCCTTATACTCACTTCTACTGTAGATGAAGCTCAATCACGAATGATTCGCGCGAACATAGACGCATTTAGGCAGATCGGGGATCGCGCATTCACTTCAAAAAGAAAGTAACATTAATCCTCTGCATCTTCAGTGGCTCAGATGTCGGGAGTAAATGACGACTGCTATATTCATTATTACATCCAACAACAAAACACCTCAATCGCTTAATCGGAGACATTTTTGTCTTCCCCTGCACCGGAGTCGACACAATGGTGGACTGATGACAGCTCACTCAGGGCGGGTCTAAGGTAAGACCAGTCCAGACTGTGCTGAAACGCTACTGTCAATCAACTATCGTGGGAGGGGCCTGTGCAGAACTACATCACTCTGACAGGAATCTCAGAACAGCATGATTTGAAAAAGGGGATTTAAAAAAAAACCACTGGGTGGATTTTTATCATTATAGGGTGGATGTGTACACACACTTCCAACACACATTTATGTTCAAACAACAACAAAGGTGAATTTTGCATCCGATGACCCCTTTAAGAACGTTCGTCAGCCAATCAGATTCAAGCATTCAATGGCCCCGTAATATAAAATAATTTAATTTGAAAGCACAGCCACCACAAAATCAGACTTTAGCACATATTTTTACTTTGAGATCGTTTGAGAGGTTAAATACTGATTAAAAATCATAAGATATAGTTTAATAGTTGATACTGTAACTGATTTTGAAATCAAATATCTGCATAGCTATGACATGAAACACTGACATCTAACGCTTTGAAAAAAATAGCTAATCTTAAAAAAATAAAGCATAGGCCTATATACAAACCCAAATAGGAAATAAAACAGTTATTGGATAAGTGTCCTATTCTGTATCCTAATCTCCTGAAACATTGGCGTCTCATATTTTAAAGCACTCAATGCAATTTGGGAAAGAAATCAATCAGTTGTAACCCACTTTGTAATCTCTAACGTTTTCATAAGTAACTCTAATTTAATTACACATTTTTTCTCAGTAACTGTAACAGATTAGTTAAAAAAATTTTGTAATTAAATTACGTAATTCCATTACATGTAACTAGTTACTCACCAACACTGCTTGTAGTTGTAATGCATTACCTTATATAATTTCAACTAATAATATAGTCTCACAAGTCGAACTGTTATACTTTTATAATGCTTTTTGTCATTTTTGGATGGTGTGCTAAGGGTGAGTACATTCTTTTTTTTTAACATCCAACTATAAAAATATTATGGGTAAAAGGGGAATTTAATAATTGTTTCCCAGTCTTTTCTGGATTATTTACTCAATATGATGTGAATTATGAGAAGATTAACCATTAATTCAGTTGAATCAGAGATAAGATTTATGAATAAAATTCATACCATTCAAACTCTAATTTATCCAATTATATATAGTAATTTCGATGATAATGATTTTTCTCTTTTAGACCTGGTTTGTTGTCAGTTGTAGTCGCTTCCCGTTACAATTTTAATTTTTCAACATGGATTCATGTGTAATCTGCCTGGTAGCGATAAATTGGTTGTATACCGTGGTGCAAGTGTATTTTGATTGGCCACGTTTATTTTAAAATGAGTGAAAACTCAATTATAATTGTCAGATAACTTTAAGCTCACAGATCTAGTCAACACATCAGTTGTAGTCGCTTCCCGTTACAATTTTAATTTTTCAACATGGATTCATGTGTAATCTGCCTGGTAGCGATAAATTGGTTGTATACCGTGGTGCAAGTGTATTTTGATTGGCCACGTTTATTTTAAAATAAGAGTGAAAACTCAATTATAATTGTCAGATAACTTTAAGCTCACAGATCTAGTCAACACTATTTTTTTCGTGGCCTAAATCCCTGAATTTGCAATACGTTTGAATAAAAAACGTTATTTAAAAAGGCAAAAATCTTAATTTTGAGCTTTCCAACTACCCACACAAGTTCTAACCTAAATACTGCTTTATAGAAGCTGTATGAAAATTAAAAATGTTAAAGTTTTAGCTCAAAGAGCTGTGCAATTACATCAAAGCAGGCCTTTCCATCAGGACTTTTTCAGAGGGAAAATATACTATAAATAGAAATGCATGCAAAAAGATATTTCTAACCTCAGATTCTCCTGAAATGTCCAAAATAAAAGTCAAACCGCAAATTGTGATTATTCAAATTGCATTGGACAATAACATGACTATTCCAGATAAAATGTGTTTATGGTTTTTTATTGTTCATATTAGGAGAAAGAGTTACGTCAAGATGAATGAGTTTTGATCTATACAGCAAAGTCATCTTAAAGAGTAGTTAATAAGTATTAGGAGTGACAGAAGTAACATTAATAATAATATTGAGAACCGTGTTATTTTCCAAAGACATATATGGATACATCGAGGTTATACATGGAGGATCAGCCAATCTCTTGGCTGCTTACTGGACACAGATGGCATCATAGGTCAGGGATCGGATGGTTTAGCAATATGTTAACATCCCATTCTCTGATCTCCAATGTTGCCTTTAATACATTTTTAAAAAATCATATTTCAGCTGGACCAGAAAGACAGTCCTTCCCTTTTTGAATGAACATGTCATCTCTATATATATATATATATATATATACACACACACACACACACAGAGTAACTCCCAATGGATAATGATGATGATAACAACTGCATAAAAAACAAAGTTAATATAATAACTGGTATTAAAGGTTTTTTAAAAAACACTACTAAATAGTACCTGGTAACCAAATTGTTGTCTACACATTTTTTTTCCTCCCTCCCTCTCTGGAAAAAAGACTCGTTGTGGGGAGGGTCAAGAACATATAAAATGACTAAACTCTTAAAAAAAAAAGAAGAAAAAAAAGACAACTTTATAGATGTTTTCACACATTCATCTCCTTTAAATGTTCTCTTACATGCTCTTTCAACCAACCCTTCGTACACTCAAACACATACATACACAAGGACAATAGAAAAATACATGTGATAAATGGCTAAAATGTAATGATGAAAACAGAAACGATGAATAAAAAAGTTCATTTAAGTGCCATCTCCCATAAACCATTAGCTTCTGTTTATCCTTCTCCCCTTTAGTGCAGTCTTAGCCACCTCTTTCCAACAGGACTCGGCTGGTAGTGACAAATCAGCTGCACGTTTGCTTGAAATGTCAATCAGCAGGCCTGCAAAGCAGTGTCATAAAAGGCATTAAAACTTCATAAGAGCTTACAAAGTCAAACAGATTTGGAAGAACATCAGTAATTTAACTTGATTTGGATGAACTATTACTATAAACCTGCTCAAATGCTGCAGATGTGTGTATCTTTCTGTGAAATACTTTGCAATGTAAACTAGTTGCAGTTCAGTACAATTCATTTGGTGGAGTTTGATCATATTTTCTAGTTTACCAGCATTTGTAACATTTATCAATTAGAAAAAAAGTCAACTTGCAGGTTTTCAAAGCTTGATATAAGCATGTGCTAGTCTTTGTTAGCTGGCATTCGTAACCTTAATCACCCATTAATAAAGCTAGTGTCCTTTTCAGTCAATCTTGCACAATCCCTGCAACAAAATGAACCTTTGTTTTTGTTCCTCTTAGTAGTGATGGAGAAATGTGCCATGTAGAAAAAAAAATTATCACTAATGTAAAATAAATTCACTGACAGTGCTTTATCATTTTCTCTGTCAGTCTGAAATGGTATCATTAAAAAATAAAGTGCAAATCAATTACTATTACTATAATTTTTATTCATTTTGACCTTTACATCAAAACCAGCTCAAGATGGCATAGAGATGCTGAATAAAATTACTTAGATGTTAAAATATGTTCTCAAAACTGGCAGTGATGCATTTATGGGCAAGTTAAGCAGTCGTTTATGACATTGTTTGAAATTCTGAGGGAAGTTCACAGATTGCCATTTCAGATTGACAAGTTTACATATTAGTTTTTTTTAAACCATGTTTTTTGCTATGTAGCCCACTTTTTCAATTTTTCCCACTTATTTTTTCCATAGGGATTTTAAAAAGTCTTTGTTGGAGAGTTATAAGCCACGAACCAAACCAACCAGCTACAAAATGAATCGCATCATTACAAACTTTGAGTTGAAGCAAAACATTTTTTAAAAATGGGACAGAAGTACTAAACTGCGTACTTAAAGGGGTGGTTCACTGGGTTTTTTCTAGACTTGATTGTGTTTATGGGGTGCAGTCTAACATGTGTTAATGCTTCGTTTAAAAAAAAAAACGCATTATTTTTCACATAATTTACCTTTATTCGCCTTTTACTGAGGGCGGGGTTTATCTGGGTTTGTGATGTCACGAACCTGGGAAGTAACTTGTTGTAGTCCCTACCAGCCGTTTTTGTAGGCATTAAACTGCCAGAATTTTAAAAGACGATATCTCCTTTTGCATTGAACTGTCTGCTTCTTAACTTTGCAGATATTGTTTATGCTCAAACAGCAACATTACACACTAACTAACGTTAAAAAAGTGAAATCACAATGAACCACCCCTTTAACATCTTATGCCATTTGGTGATTGGCACTGATTGGTGGAGATTTATTTGCAGAATCATGGGTAAAGTAGTTTTTCCACAAAGGAATTATGCTGTTAAACATGATTGTTTCAAAAATAAGCTGAAATAATGTGTGCTGACATCTTCAACAAAAGCATATGCCATTACTAAAAGGGATAGTTTGCCCAAAAATGAAAACTCTGCCAACATTTACTCACTATTAAAGTTGTTTCAAACCTGTATGAGTTTATTTCTTCTGTTGAACACAAAAGAAGATATTTTAAAGAATGCTGGTGACCAAACAGTTACAGGTAGCCATTGACTTCCATAGTCTGGTGACATTCTTCAAAATATCTTCTTTGGTGTTCAACAAAAAGGTTTGAAACAACTTGAGGGGGAATAAATGATGACAAAAGTTCAGTTTTTGGGTGAACTATCCCTTTAAAGGGTTAGTTCACCCAAAAATGAAAATTAGCCCATAAATTACTCACCCTCAAGGCATCCTAGTTGTATATGACTTTCTTCTTTCAGATGAATCCAGTCGGAGTTATATTAAAAATGGTCTTTGATCTTTCAAGCTGGTTAATGGCAGTCAGCGGGTGTTGCAGTGCATCAGTCCAAAAGAAGTGAAATAAAAAGCACCCATCCATAATAAAAAGTGTCTCACACGGCTCCAGGGGGTGAACAAAGTCCTCCTGTAGCGAATCGATGCGTTTTTGTAAGAAAAATAACCATATTTAAAACATAATAATCAATTTAATCTAGCTTGCGCTCACTGTTGTAAACAGCAGTTCCGTAATTTATGGGCTAATTTTCATTTTTGGGTGAACTAACCCTTTAACAACCTCATAGCTCACAGTTGCTCTGTCTTCAATGGTTTGTAAGTATTTATCAAAAATCAATTCCCCTATGAAGAACATGAATGGGATTTTAACTTCCGCAAAAGGGACAGAACTGGGGCTGGGAATTGTATATTTCAATAGCTGCTAACTGAAAATGGCCACTATGACAGTTTAAGGCCTTTTTTGTGACACTGCAGAGTAAGTCTAAAGAAAGACAACTCATAAGAGTTCATGCGCTCCTCCTTCATCTCTCCTTTTCTCCTTAATTTGCAAACCTGCCCTCCCCTCCTGCCAGTTTGTATTTGGAAATCCTCCTCTGTCCCAAGGCAGTGTTTTATTTCCTTCCCAATTCATGGTCCGTTTTTCCTAACCCCACCTCCTCGCTTTCATTCTCCTCAAGCTCCTCTACTAGTTCATGTGCTCCACCTGGATGGCAGAGGTGGAGACGGTGAGGCAGAGGTCTTTGTGGGCAGTCAGGTCGGCCACGGTGACCGGTTTGTACTGGATCTCTCCAGCTGACACGGTCTTGTACTGATGCAGGTCGAAAGGGCAGGGTATTCCCTCCGTAACAGAGTAACTGGTTGGCGGGGCGGGGTTGGGCTGGTTCTGCGCTTGCGCTGCTGCAGCTCCGCCACCCCTGCCTCGCCCGCGACCCCTGCCGCTTCCCCCGCCTGAGGTCTGAGCCGGATTGTGGCCCTGCTGGGCAGCCACTGCAGCTGCTACCGTCAGAGGGTCTGGGTTGTGTTTTCTCATGTGTTTCATCAGGTACGTCTCCTAGAAAAGTAGCACAAACAGAAAAATGTGTCAGAAGTAGGGCTGCCTGATGAATCGTATTTTAATCGCGATTTCTCTCGATTTTTTAAAAGGGGTCATATGATGCGATTTCAAGTTTTCCTTTCTCTTTGGAGTGTTACAAGCTGTTCGTGAATAGATAAGATCCCTAAAGTTGTGTAAGGATAAAAGAAACTCAGGAAACTCAGATACTTTGATCTCCTGAGAAACAGACAATAAACTGGCACCTTCAAGACACCCCACAGAGGGGTGGTGCAGGAAACGCCTCTCTCACATATGCATCAGTGCCTTTTCATCTGCTCCCTCCACTGGATTCACTCAGAATGGTCAATAGTATAATGTTCTATATGAATGCAAATAAGATTTACAGTCATGTTTGGTTTCATTTGAATAGTATCAGGGCGAGTGGTACAATGGTCTTAATCTTACAAAAGTAGACTAAAAGATAATACAGATCCTAAGAGTTAAGAGATACTTTGATTACTGTAGAGAGTCAGTCCATGCAAATTACCTTCTGTTTCCCATTGAGGTGTAAACTAGCCACCCAGATACCAATTGTTTGTACATGCCTCCACTTGGGGGATGTTTTATCTTGGTTTTGTATTTAAAGGATTGCAGCAAAAGGGTCAGGGCGATTCTGTAACGAGAAAGCCCGTAGTGTGAAGTGTGTCCACACACTTCACACTATGTATTTTTCTAAAAGACAGGTATGCATCTTACTCTTAGATTTGTCTTTGAAAATTTGATGTCTTGTATTGATTTGATATCGTTGAATTGGCTATGGAGATAATTGGCATAATACATATTTACCTGACTGATAATAAATTGTTACATTTGACTTATTCTGACTTACTCTGAAATTATTTCCTCAAGTAGATTAAGTGAATGCGTATCCGCAAATCTGCGACCAGGGTTACGTGCATACTAGATCTCAGGTT